GGGGGGGGGGGGGGGTTCCAAATGAACATTTTTTAATGTGGTGGGGACTTGTCCCCTTCACATATAATGGTTGCGACTCCTATGGGATTATTGATTGCAGAAAAACATCACTTTTGGTATAAACGATTTGGATTAAAAAGTGTTTCTCTACACGGAGAGGCTACTTCCACTGACAGCAGGGGCGGAGAAGTTTGTTAACATGAGCTCAAAGATCTGATCGCCGAGGGTGGCTCCAGGTCTGAACAAGTTTTTAACATGGATGAAACAGACCTGTTCTGGAAAAGGATGCCATCTTGCACTTTTATCATGAAGGACGAAGTCAAAACGCCTGGTTTTCATCTCATCTTCATCCCCTTCATCATCATTACTGAACAGCTAATTCTTCATCTCTACTGTATATGTTCTAGTTCATCTTCTTTGGTGAGTACCCATTTAAAATTAATATTTTTAAAAGGTTTAAGAGTTTATAAAATTGTTAGGAACATTGCAAGAGTGTGGAAAGTGTTTAAAATGCAAATATACACCTGTATATAAATACTAAAATAAACTACTACTTACTACTACTATATTACTTGTACATAAATGTGTTCATGAGATGGTAATGACAATAAAGTTTATTTGAACTTGGACTACTGTATCCCTACTTTGCCCACGATAAACGAGGGACTACTGTATTCATAATTAATCTAATTTATATTTTAAAAGTCAGAAATCACATAAAGGTTCATGAGAAATGTTTTTTTTTAATACAGGTTGTGAGTTCAGTAATTGTGAATTTAGTAGATTATTGAAACCATCGTTACCTAAGCTGGTTTTCACTTCCATTATAGTAGTCGCTCTTTTCCTCCTACTGGTAGAAGGGCATGCTAAATCTGAAAATACAAAAACAACAACAACAACAATCTATTAACCAAAAGCCACCAAATAATACCGCATAGCATCAATAAATGTTACTGTTAAAATTTTTAAATACACAAGGAGTTCCAGATGGCAGCAATGCTTTAGGTTGCGTTTTTGCTGGGCTCCCATCATTACTGCAAAAAACTGCCTTTCAAAAGGAAATGCCTCCTCTGAGTTGGAAGCTCCAGGAACCGACTTTGTCGTTTTGCTGACTCGGCAGAACTGCAAAATTACATCAAACGTAAAGAAATTTAAAGCTGCAGTTCTATGACCACTGTGCTGGACACCTCCTCGACCCACAGTTCTTCTAGAACCGGGGAATTGGCTCTGTCCTCACCAGGCCCGAGAGAGACCGATGGGGCAGCCCTGAAGTTGGACATTCTGGCTTCAATAAAAACAGAAATTTTGGTGATAATTAGATTGGAGATGAAAGCTGTCCTGACAGAGGACTTCCCCTTTATCAAGGGTGAGCTTCAAGCAGTGAGGGCAGAGGTCGCTAATAGCATTATGGTTTTCAGATGGGAAATAGACCAAGTGAGACTGGGTGTCAGAGAAGTTGCAGATGGGCTCTCCAACTGGTCAGACAAGTTGAAGCTCTGCATGGCACCATGACAGAGCTGAGTAAAGAGTTGGATGGGCTGAAAAAGAAATATGAGGCTGTGGAGGGGCATATGAGAAGGGGTAACGGGAGGATTGCAGAAGTCAAGTCAAGTCACATTTATTTATATAGCACATTTAAAACAGTAACTGTTATCAAAGTGCTTACCAAAAAAAGATCACAGCATCAAATATTAATAACAACATATTACAGCAACATGAATAAAAGCATAAAAACATGAAATATAATGAGAAACAATGAATTACTAAATCAAATCACCCTGCGTTAAATGTCAGGGAGTAAAAGCAAAATGGATGAACACAATCATCAACAATGAAATACCAAATGAGATCACACTGTGTTAAATGTCAATGAGTACAAATGTGTTTTGAGGAGAGATTTAAAAATAGAGACTGAGGTGGCCTGTCGAATGTTGATGGGCAGATTATTCCAGAGTTTAGGGCCCATGACTGAAAACGCCCAATCTCCTCTGAGCTTCAACCTGGTTTTAGGTACGGCCAAAAGCAGCTGGTCTGATGATCTCAAGGCCTGAGAAGGAGTATAAGGATGAAGGAGGTCGGAGAGGTATGAGGGTACAAGGCCATTAACACACTTAAATGTCAGCAGAAGAATCTTAAAATCAACTCTGACATGCACATGAAGCCAGTGAAGAGAGGACAGAACTGGAGTAATGTGCTCAAACCTGCGAGTTCCTGTTAGTAGCCGAGCTGCAGCATTTTGTACGAGCTGGAGACGTGAGAGAGAGACCTGACTGACCCCAGCATAAAACAAGTTACAGTAGTCCAGCCGGGTTGTAATAAATGCATGGACACATTTTTCAAGGTCGGATCTGGACAGGACAGACTTGAGCTTAGCTATCTGCCTTAATGAAAGAAGCTTTTTTGAAGAACAGAATTTATCTGCTTATTAAACTTAAAGTCTGAGTCTAAAACTATCCCGAGATTGGTAACAGACTGTTTTAGATATGGCTGAAGGGAGTCCAGGTTTGTAGGATCAGTGACAGTGGCAGAGCTAGGGTTAAACACAATGACCTCAGTCTTCTGATCATTAAAGTCTCTGAGATGCCAGTCAAGCACTCCCACAACAGTAGCTAAGATGCTAACAGAGGTGCTGCAGCTTAGCAAAACATCGCTGATCGACCGCTCACACCAGATGCCAAGCGGAAGGAGGTCAGGCAATAAGCCGAGAGTTATTGTGGCTAAGCTGCATTACTACAAATACTGCGTGGATGTATTACAATGTGTGTGGAGCCATGGTCTGCTCCGCTTCAGGGAGTCACTGATCATCAGAGCATCGAATTATACTTTGAGCATGGCAAGGGCTCAGACAGCATTCACAGAGGTAAGGAAAGTTCTTTGTGGCCGGCAAAATGTTTGCTATGGGCTATTTTTTCTTGCATAGCTTCGCATCACACATGGGAAGGCAGACAGGGAGTTTGTGGATCCGGATAAAGCCATGGCCTCTATCAAAAAGAATATCATCTCAGAAATGGGCAGCAAGGACGGAAAAATGCCGTAGGATCAACTTCCCTCAATCAGCATTCTTTTCAAGTTTATGTTTGACTTAATATTTGGCTGCTTGGACCTTTTATGGAGATAGGCACAACATTTCATTTGTATTGGAAGGTGAGTGTACGGCATTAACACTTTGAATTGATTACCATAATTACCAGTCCATAGAGCGCGCCTGAATACGGGAACATTTCAGGTGCACAGTTGACATTTACGTTGCTGTTTGCAGTTGTTGTTTTTTTTTGTTTGTCTCATATGTGGGCAGACGGGAGCCCAGGCAATTAGAGCTGTGTTCTCCAGTATAAGCACTGATGTGTAGATTTTCACTTAAGTTATAGCCGTGCATCATAAATATATTAAAAAGTGAATAGAAGTGTCACCACTGAAGGCTTAGTCTTCCATTGTAATTTACCAATAAAGAAATAAAAATTAGGAAGTAGTGTCACCTGTTCTGTAGGGTGTCCCACCATTGTTGGTCTCAAACAAGAGTCCAGCGTCGTAGAACACATTCATGTTGTTACTGCCTCCACCTGCTGTGCAGCCAGTGTCATATTTTTCCACAATGTCCCAAATCTAAAGAATGTGTAAGTGATTAAATGCAAAAAATGTAACATACAAAAAACCTGTAAACAAAGGTACAAATTAATTTTGTATAAAGTTGTCTATCTCCTTGTCTCTATATACCCATACGATTGACTGGCAAATTCTCTAGAGTGTACAGTATTCCACCTCTTGCCCAAAGACTGACAGACGTAGGCCCCAGACCACCACAATCCTGCACTAAAAAGCAGTCCAGGATTGAACAGACACCAACCCTTTCAGAAGCAAAAACAGACGGGCAAATCATTCTTACCAATGGGGAAGCCCTACGGTAACAGGCCATGTCAAGATTTCTGTTTTTTGGCTTTCCATAGAGTCACAACTCACTCCCAAATACTGCAATGACTCACTAGAACCACAAACCTTTCCATACTACTGATTTGAAAAAATTAGGCATCCTCCAGCTCTGACGTGTCACATAAATATCCACCCTCGCTTTGTTTTGTATAGTGTGTTTTAGAAGATGAAGATCGCTGATGCAAGTTTTTAGTACCAGACTGTTAAGCAATTCATGAGTGTAGAAAATTTTCTACGAGACAAATGTCAGTCCACAGCTCTATCAGCAATACCTGCTTCAACTAAAAAACTTGTCCTCTTTATATGGTTTGTGTTGGCTGGCAATTGAGCTGTTTGTGCTCTCTTCTACAGAAGCATAGAACTGTTCCACGCTTCCGTACTTTGCAGACATTCTAAAATGCCTTTTTTAACCTACAAAATAAAAACATTATATTGTCCAATGTTACCTTTTTCTGTGTCAGGCGATTCTTGTTATTCAATGCATAGACACCATTGTCCACAGCCACCAGTCCCACTAAAGCCTTTGGCACTCCTGTGATCTTCAGTATAAATGATTTGCGAGGTTCATAGGTTGCAGTAGGTCCTACTAGTTTCAGCTCCAGCTAACAAAAGAAAATAAATAGTTGTGATAGAAATAGTTTGTGATAGCTCAAGCTAACAAATAATTCTGCACATGCTTACGACTTTATTATTTTGTGTGATACTTGTTTATCTATCCCTTCAATGTCTCTCACCTTTCCCATGCAGGTGTCTTCCACATCAACCCAAAGAGAGTCTGCTACCACTTCATTGGAACTTGTGTGGTAGTAGGCTATAATACGGAATGATGGCAGCATTTCTTTGGTAATTTGAACCATCAGGGCAAATTGGTTTTGATTATTGTTCTTATATCTGTAATATTTTATCAGCTGACCTCTGCTCAAGATCTGGGGAAAGAAAATACTCATCAGTACTTTTCACAGATATTGTTACAATTGGTACTGGTGAACCCAGTTGTGCAGGCAAGCAGGCGAGGACTCAGGATTTATACATAATAATAAAATATTTATTAACAAAACAAAAGAGCCAGGACAAAGACTAACACAGAGACACAGACTTGTATAGAGGGAAACACCAATCAGACAAAGTGAAGGCACCTGTGAGTGATCACAGATGCCAGGAGACAGAGACTGAAGATGCAGGACATAAACACGACACAAGATGGGGCTAGACACCAAAGAAACACAAACCCTATAGACATAAACAGAGCAGGGAAACACAGACATGAACACAACATCAAGGACAAAACCACAATTCCTACAGATATGATAAAACTGAATAGTACAATGGGTTAACAAATGGACAAGCAACTACCAAAACAACTCTCACCAGGTATGTTATGTCATTTTGTTGAGTTTCAGGGTTGTTGAGGTTGAAGGTGACCTTTATGTTTGTGTCTAAATCCACTTTAGCTGTATCTACACCTGGAATAGCAATGCTTCACAGTTTAGAACATTTGTAAATGTAGATGGGATAACAATTATGCATCACCATTTGTTTTATGAAAAAAAAAACCTTGATATACAATGTAGTCACTCAGAGGACAATACTTACTTAATTGAAGAAAACTGTTGCTTCTAGATCTATATGGGTAAACTTCCATGCTGGCTGATGCTTGTCTATGAAAATCAATTTTTGGATGATTTGTTTTTGCCTGTATTTAAAATGACTCAAAGTTAAAGAAAGTCAAACAGATCTTGTCTTTATGTGCTGTTATGTACAAACTATTTGGACCAAAAGCACCCTATTATTGGGGTTTATCTCAATGAATTCAGCTACTGGCACTTTTTGATGCAGTGAGACACTGGTATTCCTACTGCTGTCGATATCACATGGACAGTCTGTGCAGTGTTCCATACTGTGCAGGCAGTAAGGAAGCGCACACTCAACTCTCAATTTATATTGCATTTTTATTAGATTTTTTTTAATGTAGCTCCCCAAACTGCATTTGAAAAACCATCCATTCATCCGTCCATCCATCCATTATCTTTACCCGCTTCTTCCTTTTTGGGACATGGGGGTCCCTGGTTTCCATCTCCAGCTATCACTGTGTGAGAGGCAAGGGACACCTTGGACAGGTCTCTAGTCCATCACAGGGACACATAGAGACAAATGATACAAACAACCATTTACTCTCTCACTCACACCTAGAGACAATTTAGAGTTACCAATCAGCCTAACGTGCATGTTTTTGGTCTGTGGGAAGAAATCGGAGTACCCGGAGAAAACCCACACATACACGGAGAGAACATGCAAACTCCATCCAGAAAGGTCCATGGCCGGGATTTGATCTGGCGACCTTCTCGCTGAGAGGCAGCAGCTGTACCAACTGTGCCACCGTGGGACTGAGTGATACTAGCAATAACAGCATTGTGTGAGGGGGACAACTGGACACGGAGGCCTCCGTCTCTGTTTAATGATGGACGGTTTCTC